ATTTTTTAGTGGGCCTGTTTCTGAAGAGCATCAGATTACCTAGGGTTGAGTCGCCTCTTGGTTTAGATCTTTGCTCGTCTTATGGCGATGGGGTGTGCCCTTTCAAGTCATAATTCCGAGTGTTTTTAACAGTCTTTGTTTTCGTTGGTTGATCATTGAACTGTTGTCCATGGAAGCTTTTAAATTCCAATTTGCTTATATTTGCGCATTGTTTCATGTAAGCAGAATGCACGTTTTTTTTTTTTTTTTTTTTTTTTTTTTTTTTTTTGTTTTTTTTTTTTTTTTTTTATTTTTTTTTTTTTTTTTTTTTTTTTTTAATTTTTTTTTTTTTTTTTTTTTTTTTTTTTTTTTTTTTTTTTTTTTTTTTTTTTTTTTTTTTTTGGTTTTTTTTTTTTTTTTTTTTTTTTTAAGATTGTCAGTCCTGGTAACTGGTGTATGCTACTGACTCAGCCATACTGCTAAGATCGCATTACTATCTATCTGCTTTCTGCTCCTGATCCTGGGAAAGCAGCTAAGAAAATTATGAAATTCTGAATTGATCAGAGTAATCAGATCAATGGCTATTAAAGGACAGGCAACGCTATTTGATCGTAGGAAAAGCTATTATTTTTTGAGGGGCTGACTTTCTGTTATCTGAATTAGGATTTGCTTAATCATTTTGCACAGATATAATATTTAGGCAGTTAATTTTATTAGTGGAAAATTTATTTTTGCAATGTACGAGTTTATTTTTAAATACGAGGAAAAGATTGTTTTACTTGCAAGGAGGGAAAAAGTAAGAAAAGTAGAAAATTCCTGTTCTAAATTACAACTGATTTTCGGCTTTAAGGCGAAATAGGAGTTTCCATCGAGGTAAGATAAACTTAGTGCAATAATGGTTAATGATTACATTTTTTTGTGATCATAACTTGACCTAACTACAAGTTTATTTATGATTTTTTGTTGCTTCATCTTTTTACACGCCTGTTCGTACTGAGACATCCTTTAATGATGCAGTATAATTAGTTTGTGAAGGTCCGTCCAACATCCTACTTCTTTTCCCAGTTGGATTTCTGGTTGCTTGGATGCTGGCCCTTCTCCCAGGTGCTGTTGATCCGCTTTCATCAACAAAGAGTAAAGATGGGCAAAAGTGCGGATTATCTGCTTTTATTGTTTGTAAAATTTTACAAGTTTTATGAGAGAAAAATCACAAGTTTGGCATATGAGATTTTCCTAACTTGCCATTTAAAATTGAAAGATAAAACGGTTAATCTAAAATTTATTCTATGCAATTAATTTTATATTTCTAAAAATTTATTTGGTCTTCTATAACAATTTATTTAGGTCCTAGTTTTCAACTTGTATCAAACAATCCTATCTTTTTAATTTTATTTAGAGGTAATTTTTTTATGAAGGCATGTTTTTATCATTCTCATGCAAAAGTTTTTGCTTGTATTGTGGTTGGCAAATAAGACACAATAGTGTAATACTGTAAATATAGAAAAAAAAAAAATGTTTCAGCTCAAACTCTGCGTCTAGGGGCTTTGTGCTTTAAACGGTTAAATTCGTAACATCAAATTAACAGTGCATCAAACCCATCAATGTTATATGATTTGTAATTTATATGGGTTTTTGGTTTTGGTTTGGTTTAATATTTAAACAAATAGAACTGATTCTCTTATTCAAAATAGTAAGTTGTTTTTTAGTTTGTTATTTTATTTAAAATATAAATCGTTTTGGGTTTTCAAGAAGTAATAAATGATGTTTTTTTCCAATATTATCATTGTTTATATTAATGCAAATAAATATTTTATATAGCAACTATTGGTTTTGAGTAAGATAATTTGGTCACATTTATCTTGAATTTGTTAAATCTTGAGAATAATTACTTCTTTATTTGTGTGTAAAATTATTAAGTTACTTTTTTTAGGACAGAGAAAGTAGTAGTTTGTTTATTTATCTAATTAGAAACTATTCAAACCTAAATTAAGATAGACATGCAAACATAAACCTAATGTTAGATGCTGACCACAGTTTCGGTTCCAAAATGTAAATTGGAAACCGAATAGAAAATTAAACAATTTAAGTTTCAGTGTAGAATCCTATAAATTAATGATTCCAGTTCCAATTTTTCTTAATGATTCTAGTTCTTATGGTTCTCTGGCATAGTTTTCTTCGATCAGTTTTACATAATTTGACTCCTAATTGGCATAATTTGAAAAGTTAGACGATATTTTAGGTAATAAATCTAAATTTAAATTTATGAAATAATTTTCAATTTGGATTTCCTTAAAATTCAATTGGTTGGGAGTGAAGTCAATATGTTTGTTCATATGCATGGAAGAGATTGGGGATTTTGCTTTTTCTCCAATTTTCCTTGCCCATCTATAGACATAATAATATGCAAATTAAAAAAATTGGAGTATAAAAAAAATTAAAGAGAATAATTAAGAAATTGAAGACATTTTTGACATTATTAACAGCGAATTAATTAAAGAATAATTTTGAATAATGATTATCAATTGGAGAGCTTAGAAGATGGAGATATGATGTGAGGATGAATGGAAATAATAGGATATTTTAGTAAAATTTGAAAAATCTAAACTTCTATAAATATCGACGTAATTTTATTTTCAAAAACTTTTAAATTTTTATTAAATTAAAATCCAGGATTTTGACTATTTTTGGACTACAAGTATTTGACTACAAGTACTGGTATAACCTTTAATCTGCGTCCAATTCGAGGTTGGGCTGGCCAAAAGTAACTACGAGAATTTTCTAGCTTTTTAAGAATTAATATTGGACATTAAATATTATCAAGCTAAAATAAATCCAATGTGACCTGTAAAACCAGTTGGAATTTTCCAAAAAACCAGTGAAAAACTGTAAACCAAACCGAAAGTCGAGCAATATTAAATTGAGCCCAATGTTCGAATCGAATCGGAATGGGCTAGGAAATTTCAGTATTATTTTCTTTTTTTTTCTCTCCAGCTTTTCGCATGGCTCGCCCTCTCCTCTCGTTTTTCCGACGACTAAAAGACGCCTCGCGCGTCTCTCGCCGTCGACTCCTCGCGCAAGCGTCCCGGCCTTCTTTACCTTCTCTCCGTTTTCCCGTTTCTGGTGAGCGAAAAGTCAGCGAAGCTTGCGAACTTCAGCCCGAATCGAGACAGTCGCGTCTCAGTCTTCCTCCGAGCAACTCCGACGAACTATAGCCGACAAGTAAGCTGAATTGTCTCCCACTATCCACTCCGTGTTACAAATTAATTTTTGTATAGATTTTAGGAACGATTTATTGACGGAATTTGATCAAAGATGGGACTTAGGGGATTTAAAGAATAAAAATCTGGGTATTTCGTTAGATATTGACATTAATTGTGTAGTGGCTATAGAACTGAGTTCCTAATAATTGGAAATTTGCTATGTTTTGCGTAAGAGTTGCAAGATTCTGGAACCATGGTACCTCCGGCCAGCCGTAGCGGCGGAGACCAGCGGTGCTCCCGGTGACGGAGTTTCCAGAGGCAGAACGTTGCATTTTTCGTGTCGAGTATGACCAATAATTTAGTTTACTATCTGACATCAATTGGAATATTGAACTGTGGCATTGCCGTAAAATTTAAAGAAAACTAGGCTTTTCCGGCTTTGAAGAATCAAGGAAAGTCGATAAAACAAGAACATCTGATTGCTTTAGAAGGTTTAATTAGCTTAGTTAAGCAACGTATTTTAAATTTTGTTTAGTGTTCAAAATAAGTTAATATGTTATGAATCTGATAATTAATTAGGATGTTTTAGTTTCCTTACGAAGTTATATTAATAAAGGTTAAGTAATTATTAAGTAATAAATGTAGTCGATTGGTTTTAAATAGGATTTTTAATAAGTTGTACTTTCAAATTTTCCCGGGTTGGAAGATATATATGTTTAAACGCTTAATCAATATTCAATAGACGATGATTTATGGATCATTACTTGAATTAGAGATCTTAATTAATAATTTATTAATAGGTTATTTAAATTTAAATTCTTTTAAACTTGATATATTTAAAAAATAAAGTTATTTAATTTAACTATTATTATTATTATTTATTTATTTTTATTTATTTATTTATTTATTTATTTTCATCATTGTTGTTTATTGTTAATATTATTTATTTATTTGCATTTGAATATGGATGTCTAATTGTGCATTGCATTACGATGTTTAATTGATTAATACGTCTGCATTTAATTGCAATATTTGATTAGTTGTGATGTGATAATGTTATGCTCTGTTTGTGTGGAGTTGGGATAAAGTGGCTCATCACGAGTTTGTGAGGGCGGTTTTCGATACCGTCGGCCATGTATGGGGAGATCGGCGCCCCCGTGTGCACCTGATGATATGGATTTTATGGAAAACCACAGGGTGACCTCCTATTGGTATGGAAAAGAAAAGAGGGTCTGAAAAAAATGAGAGGGCTGGTCAAGTGAGGATTAAACCGGTCTATGTATTAGGGGAATCGGTTCCCCGAGTGAAAACCACAGGGTGACCTCCTATTGGTATGGAAAAGAAAAGAGGGTCTGAAAAAAATGAGAGGGCTGGTCAAGTGAGGATTAAACCGGTCGGCTATGTATAGGGGATCGGTTCCCCGGTGCACACGTCATGAGAGGATGGGCCATATGGGAGGACGGCTCATCGGGGGTTTCGGTGACGCCACTGACCAATTTTCACGTGATCTGATTATGTGAAGATGTTAATAATAATGAGTGCTGTTGTTATGCCATTTGTGTGATTGACCATTGGGAAAACGCACCTTTTTAAAGGATGGCGGTATTATGCTTGAAATTTTTAAGTCCAATCGTCCCTTTCTCTACTTTTATTGCGAAAAAAGAGACACCATCTTTAAAACTTGCATTTCCTACCCTTTTACAGATTCAGATCCACCCAGCTAAGGTCTTGTCTCAAGATCTGCTTTCTTTATCTCAAACATTTAATTGTATTCTTGTTCTAATCATGGTTTCGATTTATTGATTGGGCTTTATTTTGCAGATAGAGCTAAATGGATCCAGATTCAGTGAAATCAACCTTGTCTAATTTAGCATTTGGCAATGTAATTGCAGCAGCTGCTCGCGATTATCAGAAGGTTTGATTTCTGAAATTGGTTCATTACAGTATGAGATTTTCTGGTTAAAGAACTTGTTGAACATGAGGAAGTGGATTTCATGTTTTGGGTTGAATCTTTTTTTGTTTGATGATTTCTGTTTTTGGTTTAACACTTAATTGATCTAACTATTGAAGAACTCATTTAGTTTAGTTGTTTTGTCTCTGTTTTATTTTTTTGCTTATATGAATAATTGCAGAGATTAGGTAAGAGAAAATTACATGCATCAGTTCATCTTACAAGATTTTCAAGGATTGGTGTACTTTAAGACCTTTCTTGGCATAAATGAACTCTGCAAAATTTGAGATTTCATCTCTAGAATTAATGAAAATATCCATTTCACTCTTAAGAGTTGAATTTATAGAATTCAACATAACTAAACTAAGTTCTATCATTTATGAATAAATTCTGTACTTCAAGTTCATTTATACTCTATTCCAAACAAAGGGTAAAATACTAATTGTGATTAAGGACATAATAGAACTGATATTGCCGACCTTGCAGGAAAGAAAATCTTAATTCAATTATAATTCAGAGCAGAGAGGCTCATTCTCTTACTTGAAGGTCATGAGTTTATAGTTGTGGAAATAGTGTCTTTGCAAAAAATGCAAGGGATCTAATTCTAGTTCAACTGAGGTTGCAAACTCTCTTCTTCAAAGCAAGCATTGTCGTGCTCTGGCGACTCCCTTTAATAGACCCAAATAAGAATGTGACAATAAGATGTCTTACTTATCATTATTGGTTTTTTATGACTTTACATTCTGATCTTGCAGGAATTGCTTGCTCAAGAAAAGGCACAGGGATCTAATTCTGTCCACCAAGAGGTTGATCTTGATGAGTTGATAGATGTAAGTTCTGATAGAGCATCTGTATTGTTTCTGCAGTGCCATAATTTCAATTTTTTTTTTTTTCCTTTTAATTGTATAGTATTATTGAATTTAATATGTAGGATCCTGAGCTGGAAAAACTGCATGCAGATAGGATTGCAGCACTCAAGGTAAAAAGTTGAATATTCCTCCATGTAACTTGTTAATATTTATGTTTGGGATAAGCTTTCTGAATTTGGTAAAATATTCACCATCGGATTTATTTGAATAGAAAGAAGTTGAAAAGCGTGAAGCCCTAAAGAGGCAAGGACATGGTGAGTACAGGGAGATAACTGAGGGGGATTTCTTGGGTGAAGTCACCGGCAGTGAGAAAGTTATTTGCCACTTCTACCATAGGGAGTTCTATCGGTGCAAGTATAGCATTTACTTCAAATACTCTTACACAAACACACACATGTTTGAACATCTTATATGTCACTTTATCCGATGACCCTGACTGGTTATTCTAGAATAATGGATAAGCATTTGAAGGCTCTTTCACCGAGACATGTTGATACAAAGTTCATCAGGATGGATGCAGAGGTATCTGAAGTTTGCTTGATTTTTCATTGTTTGATTCATCGGACTGCTGATCTTAAAATATTATTTTAAGTATCTCAAGTTACAGCCTTTCAACTAACTTTCCTGGGTTGTTCTAACAATTGTAAATGAACTGCAGAATGCACCATTTTTTGTTACCAAACTTGGAATCAAAACTTTGCCATGTGTCATACTGTTCAGGTGTGGCTACCTTTATCACTGTTTTTCTTTCTTTCTTTCATTCTTTCTTTTCTCCCTGTAGCTCATATTAATTAATATTATAAGATGCACATTATAAGATGCATGCGAACATTCTTCTGTTTGACTTCTCCAAGTACAAGAGAACCATAGTAAAAGTTGGAATTTATTGCCATGCTAATCTTCATTCCTGATTTTATGATTTGGGAGTCTCTTTTTTATTAACTGAGCAATGTGTATGGATGAGTGAATGTGGCATGTTGCGAATTTAACCCGGTCAGAGTCATAAGGAATAATGGTCTGTTTAGTACTGTTGTTTGAGCTGCTCTGAAGAAAACAGTATGCTAAAAATGTTACTATAGGTCATTAAAGTTTATTTTAAGGGAAATTTCAATTGTTTTTGTCATATAAGCTTCCAAATATCTAAATACACACAAATATGCTTTTCTGGAAAAGCCGTTTCAAACAATGCTCTAATTAGCACTACACTGAATCTGCATTATGTGCACTTTTGCTCTTCCTGAGATTCTGCATCGATTATAAACTCAAAAAATTCTATTATTTGTCAAATATTAGGAAAGGGATCGCTGTTGATAGACTCATTGGGTTTCAAGATTTGGGAGGAAAAGATGATTTCACCGAAAAATCGCTTGAGATTCTGCTGATAAAGAAAGGTAAATGTCTCGTTCGGTTGTGATATTTTAGTTCAAGGAATTATTCTCTAAACCGCTATATTACAGGTATACTTAGTGAGAAGAAAGATAATGAAGATGATGAAGACGATGATTACCTTGAAAGCAGGCGAAGGACTGTGAGGTCATCTGCGGATCCTGACTCTGATTCTGATTAAAAAAACTGTAAAAGAGAAACTGCAGAGTTATGCTTGGTTAATGGGTTTCCTTTAAATGTGTGTACCAATATTTTTACATTCTACTATCTCTAGAAATTTTTGTTTTCCTCAAATCAAAATGAATTAGTTAATGCGTCGTCTTCTTTAAAATCGTGTTTTTTTTCTTCATTAAAACCTTAAAAAACATTCTTTTTTTTTTTTTTTCTTCATTGAAACTTTATTGCTGTTGACAGCGAAAAGCCTGTAATGCGCCGGTGTTGCTGGCGGCCATCCTGTGCTCCCATAATAGTCACAATATGGTTAGAAGACTATAGGCTTTTCGTCATTTGACTGAACGGCGACCGTTTAATATATATATAACCATAATAGTCCACAATATAATTGGTTAGAAAGACTATAGGACTTTTTCGTCATTTGACTGAACGGCGACACGTTTAATATATATATTATATTATATATATATAATATATATATATATTATATTATATATTAGGTAATTAAGAACGTTGCTATTGCACGGTTTAAAAACATCGTTTATACTTAATATTTTTTTTATTTTTTTCTTAATATCGTTATACTTAATATTTTTTTATTTTTTTCTAAATATAGTTTATTAATTTTTTATAATATAATAAAAATGATAATAAATTATTGAATAAAAAAAATAAATATAGACAAAATGAATATTGTATTATGTATGTAGACAAAATGAATGAATATTGTAAAAAAAATCAAAATGGAATGAAAAACATAAAACTTTATGATTGAAATGATATGAAAAGTAAATATAATTAAAATTCGAGTAAAATAATATCTTTTAGATTAAGAAGTAAAATGATAATAAGAAAAGTTTTTGATATAAAAGAATAATTAACTTTGTAGCCAAAGAAAAATAAAATTGTTACAGTGATTTTTTCTGTAAGTATTAAACATTTATATTGATACACTATAATAAATTGATATTTTAATAAGATTCTTAATTCAGTTATATTATAATTCATAAATTAGTTATAATTAAGATATTACTCATACATCTTATATTCAACTATCAGAAATACAATAATAAATTTAAATAATAAATATCAATTTTTTAATTCTTTTGGTTGAATTATTTTTATTATTTTTTAGAATTGTATATTATAAGAATTAGCTAACATAGCATTTGAAATTTCTATTCATATAAAAAAATTATGATTTATATTGTATTATAATTTTAATATTGAAATTCTCATGAATACCTTACTTCCATCGAAATACTTGAAATTAAAAAATAAAAAGTAAAAAATATTATCTTGACAAATATTAATCTTACAATCTAAATAAAATTAAATTTTTATTAATAAAATATAAAATAAAAGGGAGGAAGAAAAGAGAAAAAGATGCATAGCAGGGTATCAATTGTGGTTATAACTTCAACAAAGGATAGAAAAGCCGTTGCTAAACTTTTTGTGGAACTCCTTCACAGCTCTTAGCAACGGATAAGACTGAAACAAGATTTGTTAATTAGTTAAAATCAATTTAGGTTATAACTTTAGAAACGGAAAAATATTTCGTTTATAATACAAACTTTTAGCAACGAAAAAAGAATGAAACAAGATTTGATAATTAATTAAAATGATTTGATTTAGAAAATTAATACAACTAATTTAATTAAAATTATTATATAAGTTTAATCGAGTAATAAAATTAAAGCTTTTCTAATTAAAATAGAATTAAATTATCTTGAATGATATTTTTAATCAATCTATAAAATATCAATAAAATTAACAATTTCTTATTTAAAATATGATTAGATTATACTTAATAATATTTTGAATCAATCATTAAAATTAAAAATTTATAAGGGTACTTACAACAAGAAGAAGACGTGATTACAAATTCAATAATTCTAAAGTAACAAAAACTTAATATAATAATTTTTGATAGTCAAAAGTAATAAATCATTGATAGCCAAAAGCAACAAATTCTTGATAGGTAAAAATAATTAAAACTATGTATATATAGGATAAATTTCTAATTAAAACTTGATTAAATTTATAATATTAAATTGGATAATTTAATATTAATGATCTAAAATTCCTAATCAACCAATAAAATTAAAATCTTAAATTGGATAATTTTCTATTTAGAATTAGATTCCTATTTAGACCTAATCAACCAATAAAATTAAAATCTTAAATTGGATAATTTTCTATTTAGAATTAGATTAAACTTCTTAATAGAATTTGGATTCAAATAGAAAATTAACATAACCAATCAAAATTAAAATACTTTTATTTTTTCAATCAATAAAATAAAAGTTTCATAATTAGAATATGATTAAATTATCCTTGATGATATATTTAATTAACCAATAAAATTAAAAGTCTGTAGATATCATAATGTTAATATAATAAAAATAATAAATAGATATAAGAGAAATAAGCTCCTAATAACAATATAAAAATAATAAATTCATATCATAGTAAACGTCCCATACCAAACAATTAAAATTTATAGTAACAATACAAAAATAAAAGAGTCCTGTTGATTTTTTGTTTTATTATATTAAATCAAACAATTAAAATATTTAAATATCAATTTCCTATTTAGAATTATATCAAACTTTTTGATAGAATTTAGATTCAAATAAGAAATTAAGACAACCAATCAATATTAAACTTTATTTTTCAATAAATAAAATTTTCAACAAATAAAATTAAAATTGTCAACGATATTTTTGTCCATTCATAAAATTAATAGGGCATTTTAAGAACCGATGTCTTCAAACTTTTATACATTATTATTATTATTATCATTATTATTTAACTTCTTGAATATGTGTCTCATCAAGTATGGTAGTGGGATAAATGAATCTATAAATCTGTAAATCTATAATTATGAACACAAACAAGGAGGGTGGAGGGATTACTAAATTATAAGAAATATAAATAAAAACTATTCAATTAATTTATAAATACAGAGAGTTAATACCTACCACAAGAAGAAGACATAATTGTAAATTTAATAATTTTAAATTAGCAAAAGCTTAAAGCAATAATTCTTGATAGTCAAAAGTAGCAAATTTCTTGATAACTAAAAGCAATTAAAATTGAACATATATATAGTGGTATGGTAGAATAAATTCCTAATTAGAATGAGACTAAATTTATAATATTAATATAATAAAAATAACAATTGATATCATAATTAAAATAGGATTAGATTAAATTTCCCAATAGAATTTAGATTCAAATAGTAAATTAACATAACCAATAAAAAAAATACTAATAAAATAAAAAGTTTTCTAATTAGAAAATGACTAAACTATCCTCATTGTTAGCAATAAAATTGAAAGTTCACAAGGGGTGTTTTAATAATAAAATATATATATATATATATATTATATATATATTATAATGTATTATATATACAAATTATAAAATAAAAAATATTTAATTTCTTATTTTAATAATTACCTTGATATATGAAGTAGTCTTATATACCAAAAGTAAAGTTGCACAGACATGGATACGAGATACGGGAACGTACGAGATATAATAATAAATAAATAATCATTTATAGCAAATAATAAATAAATAATAAAAAATACTTAATTTTTATTTCAATATTATTAGTTAAAATTTTAAAATTATTTTCTGTTATGACCCGTTTTCATGGGTTGGACCGGCACTAAGGCCCAGGTAAGCTTAAAGGCCCCGAGGCCCGTAGTAAGCCGTAGTAAGCCTGAAACACTAAAACTTTACCGGCTCAATATAATTATATTGTTTATGTTAATACACGACTAATTGTATACAGTTTCTACAACTGCGGAGTCACTAACTAACATACATAGATTTTTATACATCTAGATACATAGCAAAATATTTATTGGTCTAGTAAAAATTTCTTTCTAACTCTGCGACGAAGGAACATAGCTTAGTCGAATTAAAGAGAAACTTTCGTCCTGGAAAATTAAACAAGATATGTGAGCTTTCTAAGGAGTAACATTATTGCACAACACATACATTCACACAAATGTATAAATATATATATATATATCAATCTAGTCATCCGACTAGTATATGCTCACGCAGCCAGTCACACAAAATGGCATGTCACCGGCACTCACAAACAATATCACCTTCAAATTCACCTTCAATAATCACATCACGTGGAAATTAGTCAGTGGAGTCACCGAACTCCCGATGAAAGCCGTTCCTCCCACATGGCTCAATTCCTCTCACATGTTGCCACCAGGGAGCGATTTCCCCATACTGGCCGACCGGTCTTAATCCTCACTTGACCAGCCCTCTCATTGATTTTTCTATCCTCTTTTTCGTTTTCATACCACAGGCAGGCAATCCCGGTCGTCTCCCATCAAATCTAGATATCAGGCGCTACACAACAGGGCCACACCATGGGCTGCGATCAAATCTAGATTATCAGGTGCGCCACATAAAGAAGCCAACCTGATTGCAGTTAACAGTAACAGGGTAACAGTAGGGTACGGGGCGCCGATTCTCCCATTTACCGGCTAACAGAACAGAATCAGGAGGATCCATATAACAGAATCAGAATATAAAAGAAATCGGTATGGATCCGTATTAACAAAACAGTCTCACAAACCCATGGTGACCACTTCATTCTAATTATCACACAAACAAAGCACAGCAATTATCACAACACAATTAATTCCAAGTATTGCAATTAAAGTGCAAGCATTTTAATCAATTAAACATCATAATGGCAATGAAAAATAACAAATTAAATAAATAGTAATTAAAATAAAACAACAATGATAAAATAATAACAATAGTAACAATTAATAATGGGAAATAAAAAATAAATTAAATATGTAAATCATTTAAATGAGTAATAAAGATACATAAAATAATCAGACGCCACTATATTTATTATGTACCCATTATAGAACTATCTAACTAAACTATATTAATTATGTTGTATAAAATAAAGTTAATTCTAAGTTCTATCGAAAATTCGGCAGCACCACCCTTAAAAATATTGAACTACTTCTTACCTGTTTTAAACATCACCATTTAATCATATGTTAGCCAATTATCAATCATACAGCCATCCACTCGGGCAATCAACCAATCACATTACCCGTCGCTCAAATAGCAATATCCTCAAATAGCAATATTACATTC